TTTATGACGGTCCCGGGGCTCACGTGATCCACTTTTGTAACCTTCTGATGAGCCCAGTCAACAGGGAGTCCTGATTCGTTTAACGACCATGTGACTAACTTAGCAAATGCAGTGGTTCACTTAACAACGGCGGCAAGAAATGTTTGTAAAATGAGGTAAAACTCGCTTCACCCATGTTTCATTCAGCAACATAAATTTTAGGATCGGTTGCGGTTGCAACTCGAGGACCAACCTGTACCCTCTGACCCACAAGGCGCTGGAAGGAAAAGAGATGGCGCTTAGGATGGACTGGCCAACCGAGCCTCCAGCTTTAGGAGTCGTCTACCCCTCACTCTCCACAAATGCCAGATTAGGACGATCATGCGATGAGTGTCATCAACTGGGATGGCTTCAAGCACAGGTGATTCTTGACCTACGACTGCAACTTTAAGCCCCAAATTTAAGTCATTGCGGTCGTTCAGCGAGACGCCCACGTGACCGCCTCACTCAACGACTGCAATCCTGGCTCTCCTCCCCATTAAAGCCCTCGGAGAGGATTGCACCTGGCGCTCAGGTGGTCGTGGCAAACCTGCCACAACTTTGAACGAGTTGCCAGGCGCTCAGATCACCATGGCCGCCAGTTCGAGGACCTATCCTGCGTTCCTTCGTTCAGCACTCTCGTCGTTTCGAACATTCGTGGAAGGATGGGTCTTTAAGTGAGGACTTCCTTGGCCTACCTTGTTCCGAGCCCTGGGTGGACTCGCTGATGTTGATGGCCAGCTGGCTCCCAAAGGAGTTGACGCTCATCATGCCCGAGTGCCCATGGTTCCCGGCCAGGGACGTCAGCTGGTTAGGGTTGCGTGGGACGCTATACAAAGCTTCGGCGATATCGGCTGCCCGTTTCAAGATGATGTCCTGTTTGAGTGCAAGAGATCAGGCGGCTCAGAACACTCCCTTCCCCAGCCTTTCGGCCCCTCCTCCAAAGTGTCAGGAATGCCACAGGCTGGGGATGCTGGGGATTGGAGTCCCAGCAGATCTGGGAAGCGGTCCTGCATAATCCTTTCGGGCTCAAGCAGAGGCCTGGCAAAGGGTAGAGACAATGAGTTCTAGTCCTGCCTTAGCCATGAAAACTATCTGGATGACTTTGGGCCAATCACCAGGAGACGGTGAGTTCTAGTCCTGCCTTAGGCATGAAACCTGGCTGGGTGACTTTGATCCAATCACCAGGGGACAGGGAGTTCTAGTCCTGCCTTAGCCATGAAAGGCAGCTGGGTGGCTTTGGGCCAATCACCAGGAGATGGTGAGTTCTACTCCTGCCTTAATCATGAAAGCAGGCTGGGTGACTTTGGGCCAATCACCAGGAGACGGGGAGTTCTAGTCCCACTTTAGCCATGAAAGGCAGCTGGGTGGCTTTGGGCCAATCACCAGGAGACTGGGAGTTCTAGTCCCGCCTTAATCATGAAAGCTGGCTGAGTGATTTTGAGCCAATCACCAGAGTCGGTGAGTTCTAGTCCCGCCTTAGTCACGAAAGCTGGCTGAGTGATTTTGAGCCAATCACCAGGAGACGGTGAGTTCTAGTCCTGCCTTAGGAATGAAAGCCATCTGAGTGGTTTTGGGCCAATCCCTAGGAGACGGTGAGTTCTAGTCCCACATTAGCCATGAAAGGCAGCTGGGTGGCTTTGGGCCAATCACCAGGAGATGGTGAGTTCTAGTCC